CCTGGTTGCTTGAGAAACCTTGTCTCAGTGTCGCATGCGCATACACCCCTATGCATTTTCCGTGGAGGTCTATGTGCAAGCGGGGATAAACCCCTGTGAATTTTGGATAAGGCTCTACAATGCGCGAGATAGGGGGCTCTTGCAGGCAGTGTAGCGCCTAATGGCCTACGATGCGTAGAAGCCACTCCCGACTTGGGGAAGGTGTCTATGCCTAGCGGTCTATGCACCTAAATAAGTAAGTTTGAGGTGGAGGTCATCTGCTCTGGGGGAGCCTCCTGTCAGATACAGCTCTATCAGACCCACCATAGACGGCTACTTAGCTTTCGTCTGCTCGATGTGGCAACTCTCACATGGCCGCCCTCGGGGAGCGGTGTGGCTTCCCCCTTAAAGCAGCTAGTACGCAGAGGGATGCATCCCTATAGTATCGCTTACCTTGCAAAAAACGCCCAGGAAGTAAAGATATTAGCTTACCTTGCACGCTCCCCAACAGAGTGGGTCCTTTTGATGCTGAGGCCCTCCAAAGATGGACCTGGAATTTTGCCCGTTGATCCCCAGAAAAGATCAATGGTTGAGTGACAGTACCCATGAAAGTAGTCTTACTTGCCACTCGGCAGCTAGCATAGCAACCTGGGCAATTGCAACACGAAAGGTTGGCTGGCACATTGGATGGCAAGCAGGCCTACACGCCGGTGTGTTTAAAGGTAGCAGGTTAATCCCCACCAACAAAGGACGACCAAATGGAAAAGAACATGGAAAGCTAGGTGGAAACTGGGCTTATGCAGGGCTTTATGAGCTATTTTGGGGATTTTGAGTTTCAGCTTTGGCTGGAGCACGGACTGGCTCAGGCACGGAAAACTACCTGAGAACAAAAAGTCTTTCAGCAAGCATCTAGGTTCACATTGCATCCCAAACCCCAATACCCTGCTGTCAAACAGGCCCACACGACCCGAAAAGCCTAAACCCCAGGAAGCCCCAACCCTCATTTCCGCCTGCTTGAACTCGACTCCAGTTTGGTTTAGGCGATGCCTCTGCAAGGGGTTTCCTCTGCTTGCAGAGCAGTACCTACCTCCTGTTGGACCATGGACCCCTGATGACAAGAATGTTCAGTATTTGGGATGGGGCACTGCTCTGCACCCCGAAGTACAGCGGAAATGCGGCTTGTTTGAGCCTCAGGAGTGGTGTAGATGGGGATGAGGGCTGCGACTCCATTATCAACTAGATCCGCGGTATCCGTCAGCTGTGGCGGATATGGCTTCTAAAAACGAGGCCCCGAGCATACATGCATGCAGCCTAGGTGTAACCCTACAGCGCCCTCAGGGTTTTGAGACTTTTTCATTCAACAATTGTCAGGGGAGTCGCTTCATATGTGAATGAATGACAAGACCCTTAATCACCGCAACATTGGGGCTATGACAGGATTGCCCAACCCTGCACACTAGCCCAAACAACCCTACCGGAGCACCAAACTTTGCCTTTGTGTGATTCTGCTGTACCATTTCCGAAGCCGGAAACAAAGTCGTTTGGAGCGTTTGCCACTTGCATGGCTATACAGCTTTAGGATCTAGCTCTGGCATCTTTTACGTCAACTACCATGTGAATGAGGTCCCCGCAATTGACTAACACCACGCCCTGTATATCCTCTACTATTGATCGGAAACCCCCATCAATAATGTGGAGCCGGGGGGTATTCAGGACCTAAGAGTCTGGGACGGAAAGACTGCATCCTGCCGAAATTCCTTGAAAATGGAAGACCCAAAACGAATTCTTCGAAAGAATCCTTTCTTCACCTGGCACTGGGTAGGGGATTCGGGAAGGCTTCATAATTTTAGACCCTATGCAATCCCCTGAAATCCAAAATTCTGCCCAGGCACAGCACCCCCAGATGTTTAAGGTCGAAGTGGCTATTGACAGAGCCAACATCCATATCCACTAAGGAGGACACCAGCTTGAGATCCTGATTGCCTAAGCTTGAGTTTCAGTGTTATAGGCTCGGGCTTCAGTCGGATTTTGGAAGAACTTTCCCCAGCAAAATTCCCATTGCGTTTTGGGGTAGGAATCTCTGAGCACATTTGGACTGCTGGGGGTTTGCTTACCTTCCGACTCTACCAAGAGATTGTCCTTGAACAGGACTAGCAAAGGTACCCGAACGGAATGGGTATCCGACACAAATCGCCATAGCACCCCCTCCCATCCTGAGCATGCCATCCATCTTGAAGGGGATTCTCCAGCTCTGGTTTTTCTGACCCCCTCTAATTGTTATGTTACTTGTTTTCAGTCCATCCCTCCAGGCGCGATCCTGTCCCTGTTTCCCCCCCAAAGCCGCTTTCCTGCTTTTCCTAACCCTCCCAGCCTGCTTTTTCAACCTCCGACATGTGTTTCTGCTCGTTTTGGAATATGTTTCTGACCTCGAACAAGGTCCATTTTTCCGACCCCGAATTCGATCCGCCCTGTTGACACCCGCAGGCTCGTAAGCCTAGGTTTGCACGCGCCAAATAAGTCCGGTCCAATCCGTGTTCCATGACCATGTCTGCCAAGATTCTCTTCAGATTCCGAGCAGCGTGGCTTTGCCTGAAAAGAGTACCGCCCCGTCTGAAAGCCCTCCACCCAACCCGCGTTCCCATGACCGTGTTTGCAAAGGGTACCTTCAAGAGTGTTCTTGCCAGAGGGTCTCCCCAACAGCATGATGTATGATCTTTGCGTCGCCTCCCCCAATCCTCCCCTCGGTTTTTGTTTGCAAGTGCAAAAAGAGCACGTTCCATTTGCTGCAAAGGTCCCTAAACCCTAAGCCCTGAGCCCCCGTCAGCAGGGGGAAAGGAGGCATGCAGGTTCAAAAAAATGAGAAGGAAGGTCAGAAAACCGTGCAAGGGATCAAGAAAGCAGCTTAGGGGGTTAAAATGGATACAGTATGGGGCCAAATTAAGGAGTTTGGCGGTAAAAACCTTCCTCTTGGCCTATCTTTAGATCGCCCCTGCAACTTGACATCAATGAAAGCTGCCACCGAAGCTTACCTTCGCAACGCGCGGATTGGCAAAAATCTCTGCCTTGGCCAGAGGATCGCACTTCTCAAAACCAGGAACATTTCCTACGCACTGGAAGCAGGTCCAACAATCACAGCTCCGTCCGCGTTGTCCATAAGACCAAGGCGCAATGGTTGGAGCATAGTCCGGGCAGAAGTTCAGCATGTCGATCAGGATGGCTTGTTTCTCAGATGCCAGCTGAAGTAGGCTTGGCTTCCCCATTCGGAGGGACTCGGTGTCGAAGCCAATGCACTTTGCATGCTTCCAGCCAGCGACTCCCGCTTTGAACTCTTTCAGCGAGCTCGGCATGCAGATCCCTAAGTCCTTCGGGAGGCAGCAGAACTTGCCAGCGCGATGGGAGCCCTTCTGCTGCGGGTGACGCCGGGGCTGCAGATCCATTCCCCAGGTGCTGATGCGCTCAGCTGCAAGCTCGAGTTTTCCAGCCCTGTAGAGTTCGAGCACGAATGTCTTCCGAAGGGATGGATTTTTTTCACAAGCAAGGATTGCAGCGAACTCCTTTCCTTTCTCAGACCTTGCCCCAACCTTAATGTTGTACTGGCTCATCTTCTCACGCAGCTCTTTGACCCTGGGCAGCTTGGCACACTTTGCAACCTGAATGGCAATCTTGAAGCTCCCCTCTTTGCACATCTTGTCTACCAAATCATTGATTTTCTCAGCATGTTGCTGAACAAATCCTGGGCAGGCTTGCGCATGGCTTAGCAGGAGGTTCCAGTTTGGGTTTTTTAGCACATCCTCCGCCAGGCGGCTGAAGTCTTTTTTCTGTGGGCCAGTGGCATCCTGCTCCCGGACATGCCACTTTTGCAACAGCCGCAGAGCTGTGAACTGGGTGGCGTTCTGCCTCCAAAAGCGCAAAGACGCAGAAAGGGCCCGCCGGCGTACAACCTCATCATCTGCCGCAGCGCGACAAGCTTCGTTCTCACAGAAGCTGCAAAGAATTCCAGGCAACTTTGGCTCTGGCTCGTCTTTGTCTGAGAGATCTTCCAAACATGAGAGCAAAAAGGCTGCAATGCCCCGCTGGTCCAAACCCGTCTGACTCAAAGCTGCCTCCATTGTGGACCTCCGAGTCTCCTCCGGCAGATCGTGAATCCGTGCCAAAAAGTCTTGCACCTTGGATTTCGAGACCAACGATGTAACGGCTTGGATCTCATCTTCTGCAGGCGACACCATGGCTGCAAATCCACAGTAGCCCAAGCTCAACAGCCAGTGGAAGCCGAGAAATGGAACAAGCCACAGCAAGCGCTTCTTGATGCGGCAGCGACCCCATGATTTCCCCGTGCAAACCGGCGGCATTTCCTGCACACATCCTGTGCACTAGCGGCGGGAATGATCACACGTAGCATGCACTTCACAAGCTTGCATTATGACTCCAAACAATGTGGTGATCTCGCCCAACCTCGAATGCATTCCTGCAGTTGTTGACGTATTGGATCAGACGCGGGGGTGTCTAGGATTTCATGGAATCATGAAATCTTCAATCTTCATGCCCAAAGCTTATCTGAAAGCTAAAGCTTGGCCCAGCTCTGTGTGTCCTAATCCCTTCACAGGATTCCGTTTCCAACGGCTAGTATATTCCGAGCCTTTTCCACTATAATATTTAACCCCTGCAATACACGTTGTGGATGTTGTGCCACCCTGAACCCCTCAAGACGTTGCTTTCCAAACACTGCACACATCCCCGGCCCTGTGTAAAACCAAAACAAAGTACTGGTGGACATGGCGAGGTCTGGCATTCTTGTGAGATCATATTCACGAGCTCTGCTTGAGCCATTGGTCAGCGATGCGAGCAGGTGCTCGTTGCTGCGCCTAACGTTCAAATGCAGACCATGCTTGCACATGATTGCTGATCGAATACTGGTTACAGTACCTGTACAGGATTGTGATCTCGTTCCACAAACGTGCTTCACTTCCCGCCCGCCAGGCACGAAGACGAATGCAAAGAACAAAAGAGCAAGTTCAAGCCACCTGCCCCACGTACTGCACAATGGCGCCCGACGATCGCTCGATCTTCTTGCGGGTGCCACCCTGCCGTCAACCAGTCTGTTTGCTTGCAAGATCCAAGGGTTAGTGCCCAGACGAACGATAAATATCACTTTGGGGGCATTGTGAATGGCTTTCTTCCACCCACAGAAGTGATGTTTGAAACAACAACACAGTGAATCAAGGGGAGCCAGTAAAATTTCCTCTTGTTACGTCCACAGGCTGGCTCATTGCCGACTGCATTTCAGGAAACTGTGGAAGCAGCTACAGCTGCAGAGCAGAACCACCACCGCCCCCTCCTCGCCACCACCAGCACCAGCACCAGCACCAGCACCAGCACCAGCACCAGCACCAGCACCAGCACCAGCACCAGCACCAGCACCAGCACAACCACCACCAG